ATTCTCGCGGACTGCACTGCTCGGCTTCACGTTTTGGGCTCGTTTGGGCTTGTTTGCTAACAGTACCATGGGCCTTAACTCGATGCTGCTGTTGAACCAAGTTCAGAAAGTCCCTGTTGCATGTGATGGCTTGATGTACACTAAGGTGGCCATAGGGAACAAAGATATTATGGCCTTGGTGGACTGCGGTGCTACCCACAGCTTTGTGAACGAGAAGTATGCTCGGAAGTTGTGCCTTACTGTTGAGCCTCATGAGGGAAAGATGAAAACGGTGAATGCTCAAGGTGAACCGATCAAGGGCGTGACCCAAGTCGAGATGCAAGTTGGGCCTTGGAAAGGATTGTGTGTGTTGCACATCGTCCCTCTTGATGATTTTGGGATGATTCTCGGAATAGACTTCATGAGGAAGGCGAAAGTCTTCCCAAAACCCCACGAAGGCAAGTTGTTCTTGGTTGATGATGGGAGAGAGCAGCCTCTCGCCGTCAAGTTTGCTGTTCCAAAGAAGGATACAAGCATGGTGTCGACCTTGCAAGTTCACGATGGACTTAGGCATGGTCACACAACGTACCTTGCGGCTTTGATTGAGACCAAACCAGACGTACTTTATGAAGTACTGGATATTGTTGGTAAAGTGCTTGATGAATTCAAGGATACGATGCCCCCTGAGTTGCCTAAGGAGTTGCCTCCGCGTAGACCCTGTGACCATCGGATTGAACTGCAACCAGGTTCTCAGCCCCCTGCTCAACCTCCTTATCGGATGCCACCAGCTGAGCTGGCCGAATTGAGGAAGCAGTTGGATGAGCTACTTGGTGCGGGATTGATATAGCCTTCAAAGGCGCCTTACAGTTCCCCAGTATTGTTCCAAAGGAAGCAAGATGGATCGATGCGTATGTGCGTGGACTATCGGGCGTTGAACGAAGTTACCATTAAGAACAAGTATCCAATTCCAAATGCATTGGACCTGTTTGACAAGCTGGCTCAAGCAAGGTGGTACACGAAAATTGATTTGCGTTCTGGATACTGGCAGGTGCAAATTGCCCCAGGCGATGAGACAAAGACCACCTGTGTGACAAGGTACGGGTCGTTTGAATTCTTGGTGATGCCCTTCGAGTTAACCAATGCCCCTGCTATGTTTTGCAATTTGATGAATGATGTGTTGTACGAGTACTTGGATAATTTTGTGGTCGTATATTTGGATGACATCGTGATCTATTCTGAGACGGTTGATGAGCATGTCAAGCACTTGCGATGTGTGCTTGATAAATTGAGGGAAAACAAGCTGTGTGCTAAGAAGGAGAAATGCGAATTCTGTCGGGAGAAAATCACCTTCCTTGGACACATTATCAGCAAGGGAGTATTCGCATGGACCCTAAAAAGGTGCGGGCTGTTGTTGATTGGCCCGAACCATCCAAAGTGACCGAGTTGCGCTTCTTCTTAGGGCTGGCAAACTACTACCGAAGATTCATAAAAGGGTATTCCAAGGTTGTCAGTCCATTGACGGATTTACTGAAGAAGGACATGTGTTGGGAGTGGGACAAAGCTCAACAAGTTGCCTTTGATTTGCTGAAGCAAGCTGTGACCCAAGAGCCAATATTGAAGTTGGCAAAGTTCGACCAGCCATTCGAGGTACAAGTCGATGCTTCAGATCGTACTATTGGTGGGGTGTTGGTCCAAGACAAACATCCTATTGCTTTTGAGAGTCGGAAATTGAAGGATGCTGAGACCCGATACAGTACCCATGAGAAGAAAATGACGACATTAATTCATTGCTTGGAAATGTGGCGTCACTATTTATTGGAAACAAGGTTCACGGTTGTTACGGACAATGTAGCCAATACTTATTTTCGTTCTCAGAAGAAGTTATCCCCAATACAGGTACAGTGGCAAGAATACTTGGGGGAGTTTGATTTCGATGGGTCCATCGGCCGGGGAAACATAATGATGTTGCTGATGCTCTAAGTTGAAAGGCTGTGGCGTCTTATGTGTTGGCCTTGTATGCTGTTGAGTCCGACTTTGTTGAGAAAGTCCATGGTGAATCACTTAAAGATCCTGTCTATGTAAAACTAGCCGAGCAAATGGCAGCCGGTGAAGTGCGCAAGTACTGGCTAGAGGACGGCTTACTCTATGCCAAAGGTCGAAGAATGTATATTTCATCGGGAGGAATGAAGCGCGAGCTGCTGAAAGATTATCACGACTCTCAGTGGGCTGGCCATCCCGGTGTTGAGCGTATGTACGCTTTGATGATGCGAAAGTTTTATTGGCCGAAAATGCTTGATGACGTTGAGTCCTATGTCCGGACGTGCCTTGTTTGCCAGCAAGACAAGACCGAAAAGAAGAAAGAGGCGGGCCTGTTGCAACCCTTGCCTATTCCGGACAAGCCTTTTCAGTCACTATCTTTGGATTTCATTGGCGGGTTTCCAAAGGTGAAAGCTATAGCCTCGGTGTTGGTCATTATGGATCGATTTTCAAAGTATGGGATATTTATTGCTGCTCCAGGTGCATGTTCGGCAGACCTTGCTGCTGAGTTAGTCTTCAAGCATGTGGTGAAATATTTCGGTATGCCCGATGACATAGTGAGCGATCGTGACCCGCGCTTCACGGGACGATTTTGGACGACCATGTTCAATTTAATGGGAACCGAACTGAAGTTTTCCACGGCCTATCATCCTCAAACTGATAGCCAAACTGAACGGATGAATCAGTTGCTTGATGAATATCTCAGGCATTATGTTACCGCAAGCCAGGATAATTGGGTGGAATTGTTGGATATGGCCCAGTTCTGTTATAATTTGCACAAGTCCTCGGCGACCGGTATGAGCCCTTTTGAGCTGGCTTATGGACAGCAACCCCAGCTACCGCATGATGTAGCGGTACAGCGGACTGGTAGGAAATGTCCCGCGGCATATCGATATGCTCGGGCGCAGCACGAACTCTTGGTAGAGGCTCGAGATAGCCTTGCTAAGGCGCAGCGAAGAATGAAGAAATATGCGAACCGCGGGCGACGGGACGTACAATTTGCTGACGGGGATCTCGTGTTGTTAAAAGTGAGCCCAAAGGTATGGAAAAGGATCTCGGCAAAGGCAGTCCATCGTGGACTGATTCCAAAGTACGAGGGTCCCTTTGAAATCGTGATCAAAGTTGGAAATGTGGCATATCGACTTAAGCTGCCTGACCGGTTGAAGGTACATCCCACATTTCATGTATCATATTTGAAGAAGTACCATCCTGATTTGATTGAGGCAAGCCGAAATGTCTCTACTCGAGCTCCTCCTACGGTGAGGGACCATTTCACGAAGGAGATGGAGAAAATTTTGGATCATAGGACCCTTGGCAAAAGTAAGAAGAATTGGCGGACAGACTATCTTGTCCAGTGGAAGGGTGAGTCCGAGTCGGACGCTACTTGGATTCGAAATACAAAACTATGGCAATTTACTGATAAGATTGCTGAGTACGAGGCAAGAAGGATGGTGAACCCCCAGTCGACGAGGGCGTCGACGAGCTCAGGCGGGGGAAGTTTGTTACGGACCTGAGTTGAGCTGGACCCGGGCGCATCCCCTTATGTGCGCCAAGGGTCAAGAAACCGGGCACTTGTGCACGGTGTCGGATAAGGGAACAAGTACATTAACGTGGGAAAGGTTCCGGGCTAGCTTGGCGAGGATGCTGGGTTGCAGGGCCGAGTCAATGTAGACTGAGCATGGGATCAGTCAAGTCTTTGCGGGTTGTGCATGGCCACGCAAAGACGCGCGGGCAAAGTAGCAAGGCGGTACGACGCCTTTGCACTACGTTGGGCAGGATTAACTCTAAGCTATGCGGGTTGCTGATGCGGCTTGATGGGCGCACGAGTGTTGGCGCGACGCTCAAACTGTTGGCGAGAACGGTTAAGGTTTTGAATGCATGTTGGTTGCACGTGGATGTTGTTATCTTGTTCCATGTGGCCTAGGCGGGAAATCTTCAAGTGTGCATGGCAGAATGAATCAGATGGGCGACGCGTGTATAAGACGGTTACATTGGACACGTGGTGCGCTTGTTTGATGGTCCGCATATTGGGACCGTTGTGGGGACAGTTATGCTTAGTGGGCTTAGAATATGTGCAGTTTTAAAACTGCCCGACGGTTACCTGTCCTAGCAGTTGGGGATGTCAACCGCAACTTGCCTGCGGGCCTATATAAAGGCCTTGAGCTGCACAATCGCACGTATGAGCATGCCTTGGCGAATTTTCCAGCGATAGTGATTGTTGGTTGGGCGTGGAGCCCGTAAACATTGTTGCCTTGTTTTTTTGCTTGATGCTTTCTGTGTGCGTTGCTTGTTTGTGTATTGCTTAAAACACTATTCCGACTTTGTATAATCAAGTTGTGCGTTTAGTGTGAAGGTGAAAGGCTGACTGGTTAGGCGAAAAACCAGGCCGCATAGGGTACTAAGGCTGCGAAAATTTTAGCCTCTTTTGAGACCTTGTGACACCGGGTCTGGTCACGTCTAGGCCTGCTGGATGCATGTGGGCCGGTGTTAGGCCGCACACAGACTGTTGGGACGCGCACGGGCTACACACTAAATGGGGGCTGACGCGGGTTGTACGCGGACGCTGAGAAGAACGGGAAGAGCGCAGGTCGCACGACTTGTTCGCGGTTCGGCTGTGCACCTGCACGCTAGGAAACGCCTGAACGGGTCTTTGAGGCGCTGCTCGGTGCGTGAACAGTGTCGACGGGTCTCTCCCAGGCTGCTGCAGTGTTGCGCGCCTAAGACACGGATGCTCGCGGTTTCACGTGGCCGAGTGCGGTTGGGCTGCGACTGGTCCCTCCATGGTCGTCGGTGGTTGCCAAACTTTCGGGAATCTTATCCGGTGGTTTTTTGATGATCGCCGGCGCCTTCTCTGATCCTCATGGGGATGTATATGTATATAATATATATATATATATATATTACAGAATTAAATATATATGTATACATATCTTTGCCATGAATTACACTGGATCTTCTGTGTATGACCTGACATCTTTTCCAATCATCTTGGTGGGAGATGAAATTGGAGATATCTCTACTAGGATAACTTGAAAATAAAAAGAAAAGAAAAGAGAAGAGAGAAGAGAGGGTGGCGGATTTTAGCCGTGTGGGACTCTCAGTCTCGTCTACCTCACTTTAATGAGGGCTCTTCTCTTTAATTCTAAGTGATATGATGTATTTATAGCTACAACAGAGACCCTGAGAAGGTGATGATGCAGGTTTCTTTAGTCATGGGCCTAACTGAAGGTGATGATGCAGGTTTTTTTAGTCATGGGCCTAACTGTGGGCCAAACCCACTTCGCTCAATAACTTAAATGATGTTTAGGTCCACAAACAAAACATTATTGCACTTTTTCATCATCCTGAATTATATTCGAGGCTCCAATAATAATTACTCGATTAATCTCTCTGTACTTAAGATATAATGTTCATCATTTAATTTAATTACTGATAATTAAATTAATCGACATCTATAAATAAATTTGTACCAATCAAATCTATATTATTATGTCGGAAAAAATTTTACTGGCCAGATTTAACATAATAATCTTTTATGAGCTCATTTATGGGTCATCATAAAAATATCGCACACGGTGACCGTAAATATTCGAATAGCACGCCATACACACAGCACTACTACCCAAAACACGAATACTATATATTGACCCAGCAGAATGGATCTCGCTTTTGGTTCAAAGTAGCAGCTATTGTATGCACGTGCCTGTTTATATTATACGGGTTAAGAGTGTGCATTAAGGCATAGCTCTTTTACCACGATCAGTATAAAATGAACTTCCCTCTCTAGGATCCGTCCAATGCACATAGTGAACTGATATAACTAATCAGTTAAGACAAACTGTACAGTTAATACTACAACCGTTTAAAATTGGTTGTTCATATCTATCTACGGTTATAAGATTGGTTATTGTGTTCTCCTCAGCTTAATTAAACTCAGGTTAGTTGGCTCACCCGTGGACGCAAAAATCATGAGGATTTCTGATCAAAATGGTACAATACAAGCCATATCCATTGCTACCAATAATCCTCATTTATATGATTCTAAAACAAATATGGATATGTATATAAAAGAAAACATTTAGTGCTGTTAAATTTAACGAGCCTGGCTCGGCTCGGCTCGGGATCGGCTCGTTAAGGCTCGGTTCGACTCGAGTTCGAAGCCTTAACGAGCCAAGCTCGAGCTCATTTAAAGCTCGTTTGGTTAACGAGCCGAGCTCGGCTCGGCTCGATAAGGCTCGAAAAGTGAAATTTATGAAATTTTTTATAGTTCGGCTCGTTAAAGCTCGAGATCGGCTCGTTAAAGCTCGAGCTCGAGGCCTTAACGAGCCGAGCTCGAGCTCGATTTTTGGCTCGCTTACTTAACGAGCCGAGCTCGGCTCGGCTCGTTAAGAGCTCGAGCTCGAGCTCAAACACCTAAGGCTCGACTCGTTTATAGCCCTAAAAACATTAAAGGAAAAAATAAAATAAAAAGGCCGATATAAGTGAAGTATACTATGTTGTAATGTATGGGACAAACATTAAGATCCACAAACATAATAATGGTGTATTTTTTTTATTTGCTTTTTGCCTCTTTGAGAAAGATGCACAAGTGCATGTCTTTCAAGGGCTACACCTTAATTGCACTTTCCCAAGAGTCACGTTTTCATGATCCCAAGCAATGATGCGTGCAATAATTGACACAGCCTTTTTTTTT